GCCCGACTGTCTTATTTCCTTTTCCATTGTTTCGCTATTCCATCATTTTGTGTAGCTTATCAGTTGGTGTACATACTGTACCACATTTGTGTTTAAATCTATCAATATATTATTAAGTATTTCTTTTAGAAAACTACTAGTTTGCATTCCATATTAGTTTGTTTATTAGTTGTATCACACAGTGAAACAGTATTACTTACTGGATGACGTTTCGAACAAAATTTATTGTTTATAATCATGTCATCAATTATAATCACACAACTTCGGAACTTGAGTTTTATAGTTTTCTTTGTCCTCTCCTATTTGTCGTCGTTGGGGTAGTAGAATTTTCCAGATGTCTGGGTGGACAAGCGTTGAATCATTCCTATTACACGTATTTTCGCAGTTGATTCGATAAACAAAGCTTCTGTTATCAATCTCTCCTTCCACCCTGTTACACTAGATTTTAAAACTGTCATCTCATCCCATCATCCCATTGTATGGTTGTGTGTAACTGCATGTGGTGTTGTGTTATAGCTGAACTATTCTCTAGATTTCTTATCTTAGTGTCGGGTCAACTAATCTAGATTTTGCTAGGTTTTTATGCTCGGCTAGTCTGACTGACTCCTGTTCTACTACTTTGACCTATGTATTTGACCTGACAACCATTCCAGCAGGGTATTAGATAAACTAAATTGTTTTGTTTTAAAGGCTCCACAGGGTTGATCCTTCAACCGACAAAGCTTGTTTCTAATTGAAATTGTGGGTTTGAATGCCTGACACTTTTATTCCTGCCTTGTTAAGAATTCTGCGTAAGGCATGTCGCATAAAAGGTTTTGAACGAAGGATGTTTGTAATATTCATCTCGGTAGTCTATTTGTAGTTGGGTTAAGGATTAGGTACTTTTTATGGGATTACTAAAACTAATAGAATCTCTTATATGTCCCATACTAGATAAGTTTGCTTGGCGCAAAATGCTCAGCGATACAATATTGATAAAGATAGAACGTTTTGAGCACAGTTTATTGCTTCTCAAAATTATATCAATGTATTCACACGGCTTCATAATTTACTTTATGCATTTTTTTGTGTCTCCCCCTAGTTATTCATTGCAACTTTCCATATGTTCGTGATAGATTTTGTGTAATTTCGATTAAATGCATTTTGTGTGTTGATTTGCTGAAAGAAGATTCGGTGATCAACCTCTCTCTCTCTCTCCACCTAACCTATCCCACCGTATTTTGTGTGATTACGTAAGAGTTTGTACACTGTCATGATCGGGATTTTTTTCTAGATTATTTAACTAAATGGGGTCAATTATTTTAGTTCTAGCTAACTTCCTATGTTCCCATAATCTAATTGACCCTGATCTGTTAGTTTGACCTGTATGGTTGACCTCACAGTAATTACGTGGTGTTGAGTTCTAAAGCCGACAAAGTTTGTCTCTAAGTGAGTTTGGTTGGTTTAAATGCCATCCTGATTCCAGCCTCATTGGGAGGAATCTCACGTAGGTCATTTGATTCCATTATGGATAAGATATTATTTTGATAAAGTCTCACAGTGTGTTATACGGTAATATTTACTGATGACCACGTCTCGAGCACAATTTATTACTGCTCATAATCATATCAAGACACTACTCACACAACTTTCTTGCTTCATTTATATACATGAGTAAAAATTGGTGATTAGACATTTGAATAAAAATCAATATGGGATGATGTACATTCAGAAATAATAATAATATGAGTGTTATCAATCAAATATAATCAGATAGGAATAAGATGTTTTTAGTAAAAATAAGTAACTTGTTAGAATGTTATAATGTGAATTGAAATACATTTTAACATTATTTATTATCTTCTGATTTGACTGGTGGTAATAATATCTTCCATTTCTCCGGTATTTACGTTGAGTCTTTTCTATTACATGTATGTGTTGGGTGTAGACTCTATGAACCAGACAGGATTCAGTAATCAACCTCTTTCTCTCTCTCCACCTACCTATATTACTCTTTAGAATTTTGACTTTAGCCCACACACCATTGTGTGGTTGTGTGTTAATGCATGCAGTGCACTTGCTGAGCTCTTTTCTAAATTACTTATCTTCTCGGGGTCAACCATTCTAACCTTAGCTAAATTCTTATGTTCCGACAATCTGACTACCCCCGACCTACTAGTTTGACCTATGTAGTTGACCTCACTCACAGTCATTGCAAGGTATTTTGTAAATTATATTATTTTGTTTAATTGGGTCAACCTACAGAGTCCTTTCAACTACAGAGCTTGTCTTACCTGAGTGAGTTTGTAGGCTTGAATGCTACCCTGATTCCTGCTTTATTGAAAATCCTACATGGGGTCTGAGATATCCCTCCTTATGTGGTAAACTGTAGATGTTTATATTCTTTCTTATTTATGTTATCATTATTAGTTTCACCATTACGCAGTGCAAATACCAGAGATATGGAAGATATTATTACCACCAGTCAGTCAGTCAAATCAGAGGAGGATAATAAATAATCTTAAAATTCTATTTCAATTCACATGCATTATAACATTCTAACAAGTTACTTATTTTGACTATAAAAACACTCGTCTTATTTTCCATCTTATTATTGTATTTGATCAATAACACTCATATTATTATTTCTGAATGCACTTTATCTTATATTGATTTTTATTCAAATGTCTAATCATCAATTCCACTCATGTATATAAATGAAGCGAAAAGTTGTTTGAGTAGTGCCTTGGTATGATTATGAGCAATAAATTGTGCTCGAAACGTCATCAGTAAACATTACTGTATAACACTGTGAGACTTTATCAAAACAAAATATACCCACAATGGAATTGCAGTACTATTAAGACTTGAGATTCTTTACTGCCTGCATTATTTTCGTTACTACTTTTATTTTTCTCATGGATCTTCATACATTTTTGAATAAATTCTGATGGACAGTTATTCACCAGTAATGACTTTTTATTCTTTTTGTTTAATTTCGTTATTTAAATCTCCTGACTTACTAGTTAGGTTTCTAGCTCGATTATATAAACACTTGACTAACACATTGATATCTGGTTGTGAACAATAAATTGTGCTCAAAGCACCATTCAATTATTAATATTGTTTCACTTATTTAATGTGGAATTACATCCTACCACAGTACCGAAATTCTTTTTTTATGCCCTTGGGTTCCAAGTGAAACGTGGGGCTTCAACAGCATATCTCCGTTTTGTCTTATTCTTTGCAGTCCTCTTTGTCTGGCTCCCTGATTACCAATAAACTTTCGTTCCCTCCAGAAAAAATCTCCTCTGGGCCAACATTGAACCCTCACCGAAATTGACGTTTCTTTCCCATTCGGGTTCCACTCAAGTGCCTGGCACACGATGTTACCCAATGGTCTCCTTGGCGTATGTCTTATCCATCTCCACTTTCTTTGACATATTTGTTGAGCAATAGTCCCTCGATCGGTTTGTTCCCAGCCAGTCTTTCTTGTTGTTAGTTCCTTCTAGGGGGCCATCTGGTTTTCAGTTTGGAGACAGAGAAGACAACTGTTGCTGAGTGCAGATTCTGGCTTTGACATCCTCATCCACGCCGTCGGTCTGTAATTGAAAAAAATGCTATTTAGATAAATGAATGAAGTGACCTCTTTCAAATTTTCTCCGTTAATAGTGATTGGTGCTGGTTGTTGTTGTCGTTGCTGTTGGTTGGTTGGTTGGTTATCTTGACCACCTCCATTTTCTCTATATTCCCTTGAAGTTTGTTCTTCACCGCTTCTTCAGCCAGTTTGTTGGTTTTCACCTGGAAGCCTTGGAGTTTATAGACATTAAACACAATTCATCCGCGAAATCCAGATCTTCTAGAGTCTTCTTACCGGTGGTCCAACGTATTCCTGTCTCCTCGCTCTCCTATATATGCTGTACCGTTTCATCCAGTCCATGACAATTAAGAATATCATCGGTGATATTAGTCTGTCTGTTTGTTTTCGACATGTGAAGCAGCTCGAGTCGCCACACTCCGCCCCATGTAGCACACAAAGCAAGAGAAGAAAGTAGAAGAAATGCAAAATAAAGATTGAAGACAGGGATATGAGACAAAAGGAATAGTAATAACGAAGAACAATATAGTTTCATTTGAAATTATAAATCACAAGGAGTGGATGCATCTGCACTAGCCATTGAGAACGATTTTGAGCCATGCCACCAATTGTTTCCAGCCCTCATTGGTTTTTACCGTCCCGAGGACCCCAACCAGGAAGTCTACACCTTCCTACGTGGCGACTGGCTTAAACTAACTGTTGTGGATTTCATTGACTGATGAAACCATGTTTTGATTTGACCACCGCTAGCTGTTTTCCAGCCGATGAATAGGCACACGTAACACATGTCCTAACCATCTCAGTCGATGTAGCTTCACAGACCCATCGATTGATTTCCCCTCCTTACCTAGCACTCGACCGACGCCTAACCTCAATATTGCTCACCCTATTATACCACTTAATACGGGAGATAGAACGCAGACACCTATGATCAAAGACAGCTCGCCAGGCTTTTCATGTCTTCCACTCTCAATGGCCAGGTCTCAGAGCCATAAAGGAGGACGGAGCAGACTGCTGAGCAGTACACTCGCCCTTTCGTCGATAGTTGGATATCATGTCTACTAAGCCAGAGACGGCGTAAACTGGCATATGCGAAACTAGCCCTCTGTATCCGTGCTGAGATTTCGTCAGCGATCAACCCGTTGGACTGGCTGGCTGATGCAACTTCCCAAATAAGTGAAGTGGTCAACACGCTCCACCAACCACTTCACTTCCTATTTCCAAACTAGGAGTCAATGTAGTCCAGTCCAGTCCTGTAACATCATCTTACATTTGGCGGGAGCAGGTGAACCACATGCCAAACATTCGTAGATTGCATGTTAAGGTGATATTAGGCAGAGATAGCCTTGTCTTAACTTCATATCATCTATGTATATCCGCTTTTTTAAACTAATTAAGGTATATATATTATTTCTTCTTACAGAGCATTCAAGAGATTTGGAGAAAGACGAAGAAGAAACATAAGAAGAAGGCGAAGGGTAGACAAGTATTACTTGTAAATATTACTGAAGATTTACTTATAACCCCCTGAAGAAATGCACAATTTTTGTCAACATTTTTGCTCTATATATGTCAACTAAACATTGGACATCTACTGATCTCTTTCATATAAAAACAAATGGATAAAAAGAAGCTTGACTTTTACTTCTCCCTACTTGAATCAAGTGTCCTTTGTTATCAGGTATGTCGTTGTAATAAATGCATCCTATCTGACTCTCACTCTCTCTCCCGCTGTTATAGCATCCGATAACTGGATTAATCCCCTCATCACCGAATAGTACACATGCATGGGTACGCGATAATACCTATGCTTCATTATCTATCTGGGGTCTTTCATTAGCCTATCGAAAATTGCCCGATGTTGATGAAGATCGTTGTCGTAGTTATGAGTTGGAAAAGGTATTTGTACTTCTTCTATATTACTTCTAATTTCGATTAGTGTGTTGTCAAATTAATGCGTGGCATTCTAATCTGTTATATGAAACAATCGAATAAAGTCGAATTGTTGAAAAAAACTCAAAATCCTTTACATTCACTACATGCAAAATTTGATAGTACATCGTATAAAACAGTTGTTGGTGATACTGAATGGGGTCATCTACAAATTGATGCTATTTCATTATTTCTCCTCATCTTAGCACAAATGACAGCAGCTGGTGAGTTAAGTGTATTCGTTTATTTATGGCTTCTTGCTTTTGTTTGTCTCTTTAGGTTTAAGAATTATTTGGACCCTTGAAGAAGTCGCATTTATACAGAATTTGGTATTTTGTATTGAACATGCTTATCGTATACCTGTAAGACAATTAAATAATTATTTTTTATTTTAATAATAAAACATTAAAAAAATATTTTCTCAGGATTATGGAATTTGGGAACGTGGAGATAAAACCAATCATGGATTACCAGAATTGAATACAACGTCAGTGGGAATGGCTAAAGTAGGTCGTTTACAAGCGTGTTTATCGACTAAAAAATTTCAGCGTTTTTTGCCATTCTTGCAATCTTTTTTTAAAATTTTATACCTTTACGTTTCCAGTGGAATATGTACATATAAGCCAGCTTCGAGCTGCACTCAGCTTCAAGTTTTTGAAAGTGTGGATTATCTTTATAACAGAATGGGGTTGCCAGTCTCACAGCGTCCCGAAAAAACTTCTCTTTTTACCAGTATTATTAATACTGCCTTACCCAGGTGAACGAGTGCTTCGGGAGAAGAATATTGAACTCCAGACAACATAAGGGTGGTCGACAAAAAATCCACCGCTGTGCCACTGACGGATCCTTCCCAACGACTCATATTGTTGACGCCGAGGTGGTGTGTAACTATGTGGATGTGTGTGTTGGCAAGGTTGCATGTGTATGGAATGTGAGGTGTGTAGGTTGTTGTGGCTGACGCCGAAGCCATGAGACAGACTGATCTCTTGGTCCAAAGTTTAGCCTATAGTGTATGGTGTGATTTGGTCGCGTGATAGGACTTTCTGCCTGTCTGGCATTACCCAGCTCACCTAGAGGAGTTTTGTGTTTTATTTGGTTGAGAGTGTTTTTTGTGGCTGAGGATAAGTGAATGGCGTGTGAAACTGACCGTCAGTGCATTGTCCGGCCTTCATGAGGTTGTAATTGTGAAGCAGTTGTGTGTGTTTGAGACATGCTGTTTCCGAATGAAGGCGTACATTGAGTGTTGTTGGTCTGTTGGTTTGCGGCTGTGAAGCAGCGAGACAGTCGTATGTCGTCGGACCGGACATTGAATGGAATGTGTCGAGTCGAGTCGAGTCGAGTTGAGTGTATGTTGTTTGTGTATTTGTGATGAGGGATTTTGTTGTTGTTGTTGTCATTTGAATGTGAGTAGTGTTTTGAGGCGTGTGTGCTTGGTTGTTGTTGTTGTTGCTGTTGTTGTAGTTATTGATGACATTTATCATGATGTTCCCGTCCGAAAGCTGCTACCTTGACATGGTGGTCGAAATTGCATATCGCAATGACACAACGAGCTACACTGGCTGGAATTTAAGTTGCTGTAGGTCCTACCATGCCAGAAATGTTGTTTGAATAGCGGCTAGACAAAAAGCAGCTGCCCAATCCAATGCCATTTCCAGAACGAAATCACAAAATATCATGCCGGATCGGTCGGGACCCGGATTGACAACGACCGCGCTTCCTGCTGCCGTGTCACAGGGCAGAAGTGATAAATACCCTACTGAGACACACCAAATAAAAAAGAACAAACAAAAACAGGCCGTGTGTGACCGGCCTCAAGCAGTTGTCCCCTGGGCTCTGCGGTTGCGCAACCAACTTCCACGGTGTGGGCAGCTGGGAAGTAACAATCGCCCTCACACTCCAAAGTGCACGCGAAACCTCTCTAATCCTCTAATCGTATAATGATGTTGATGTTGTCTGGTTGGCGTTTGTTTCGTGTAAAGATGATAAGAATGCAGGGAAGGTGATTTTGAGAAGTGAATTGTTTAGGTGCGGTGGGTATTTGTGAGTGTTTGTGTGTGTGTGTAACGGGGAGTAATGACTGACTGACCGGGTGACTGACTGCGTGACATGTGGGTGTGCTGTTGGCTTGATGGCTGTTGTTGTTGTTGTTGTTGGGTTTGAGGTGGTGTGTTGGGTTCATTGTAAAGATGTGTATGGGAAATTGTTTTGTTGTTGTTGTCGAGATGGTGTGAAAGTATGTGTGTGTGTGTTGGCGTGGTTGCGTGTGTATGGAATGTGAGGTGTGTAGGTTGTTGTGGCTGACGCCGAAGCCATGAGACAGACTGATCTCGTGGTCCAAAGTTTAGCCTACAGTGTATGGTGTGATTTGGTCGCGGGATAGGACTTTGTGCCTGTCTGGCATTACCCAGCTCACCTAGAGGAGTTTTGTGTTTTATTTGTTTGAGAGTGTTTTTTGTGGCTGAGGAGAAGTGAGTGGCGTGTCAAACTGACCGTCAGTGCATTGTCCGGCCTTCATGAGGTTGTAATTGTGAAGCAGTTGTTCTGTTTGAGACATGCTGTTTCCGAATGAAGGCGTACATTGAGTGTTGTTGGTCTGTTGGTTAGCGGCTGTGAAGCGAGACAGTCGTATGTCGTCGGACCGGACATTGAATGGAATGTGTCGAGTCGAGTCGAGTTGAGTGTATGTTGTTTGTGTATTTGTGATGAGGGATTTTGTTGTTGTTGTTGTTGCATTTGAATGTGAGTAATGTTTTGAGGCGTGTGTGTTTGGTTGTTGTTGTTGTTTTTGTTGTGGTTGTACTTGGTCATGCTGATGTCGTCCGGTTGATGTTCGTTTTGTGTAGAATTGATGAGAATGTAGGGAAGGTGATTTTGAGAAGTGAATTGTTTATTATTATTATTATTGTACCCTTAGGTTCCTAGTCGAAGGTAACGCTTCAGCTGCACGCCTCCACTTGCTTCCGTCTTTGTCTGTACTTTTCACTTGCATCCATGTTAATCCATACTGTTTCAATTACTCTTGTCACGATCTGCTCCATGTCACCCTTGGAAGTCCCACTCGTCGCTTCCCTTTCGATTTCCACTCGAGGGCCTGACGCTCGATGTCACCCAACGGCCTCCTCAGCGAATGTCTAATCCATCTCCACTTTCTTCTGCATATTTGTTGAGCGATTGGTTCTTGTTTTGTTTGTTCCCATAGCTTCTTGTTTGTGATTCTTTCCGGCCATCTGATCTTCAGTATAGAGCGAAGACAGTTGTTGATAAAAGTCTGCAACAGGCTGTTGGAAATATTCTTGGTGACCCGCCAAGTTTCTGATCCGTATAGAAGATATGACTGACTTGACGTTTGTATTGAAAATCCGAATTTTGTTGTTGATGCTGAGTGACGAAGATTTCCAGATTGGTTTCAGGTTGATGAATGTGTTTCTCGCCTTCCCGATTCTCGATTTGACATCCTCGTCCGTTCCCCCTGTCTGTAGTTGAGACAATGCTCCCTAGATAAGTGAATGAAGTAACCTCTTTCAAATCCCTCCCGTTGATGGTGATTGGCGCTGGATGTTGCTACTGTTGTTGTTGTTGTTGGTTGGTTATTTTCATGACCTCCGTCTTGTCTATGTTGACCTGGAGTCCTGTCTTCTCCAGCTGCTTCTTCGACCAGTTTGTTGGTTTTCGCTTGTAAGTCTTCGATTTTGTGTGACATGAGACATAAATCATCCGCGAAATCCAGGTCTTCTAGGTTCTTCACGTCGGTCCAGGATATCTCTCTCTTCTCGTTTCCCACTGTCGTCTGACGCATAATCCAGTCCACCACAATTAGGAATATCATTGGTGATAATAAGCACCCTTGTCTGACTCCTGTGTTTACTCCAAACGCTTCGCTGAGTTTTCCGTTGTGGATCACTTGACATGTGCCGTTGTCGTACAGCTGTTGAATAAGGTTGATGAATATTTGCGGTACGCCGTAGTACTCGAGTAGTTTCCAAATTACTTCGCTGTCAACGCTGTCGAAGGCCTTCTCAAAGTCTTTGCATTTGAGGTAGAGATTTGATTGCCATTCCATGCTTTGTTCTGTGATGATGATGCGTAGAGTGGCAATTTGGTCAGAACATAATTTGCCTTTCCTGAATCCAACTTGTTCTGGTCGGAGTTCTGTATCCAGTGCGTCCTTTATTCTCTCCAGGATGATGCGACTCAGGATTTTACTTGGCGTCGACAGGAGCATGATTCCTCGCCAGTTCTTGCAGAGTCCTAAGTCGCCCTTCTTTGGTAGTTTCACGAGGTAACCTTTCCCCCAGTCAGTAGGCACCTTTCCCTCTTTCCAGACCTTTTGCAATAATGGAGTCAGCATATCTGCTGTCGTTTCTGGGTCCGCTTTCAGTGCTTCCGGGGGTATTCCATCTGGTCCAGCTGCTTTTCCAGATTTCAGAAGCTTGAGTGCATTCAAGACTTCAGCTTTCGTAGGAGGATTGGTGTCAACTTGCAGTTGTGTACGTGCTGTTGTTGGTATTACTGGACGGGTTGTAGGTGGTGGTCGGTTCAAGAGTCCTTTGAAGTGGTCCGCCCATTGTTTAATGTGTCTTTCTTCTTTGGTAATTGGGTTCCCTTGGCTGTCTTTTATAGGTTTCACTTGTGTTGATCTCTTCCCGGATAGAGACTTGGTTATCTGATATAGTGTCCTCAGGTCCCTTTTGCCTGCTGCCTTCTCAGCTTCAGTAGCCAGGTTGTCGTAGAATTGTCTTTTGTCCTTCCTGGCAATCTACTTCACTTCTTTGTCCAGTGCTGTGTAAGTTGAGCTCAGCGTCTCTTTCTCTTGTCCATCTTTGCATTGAATCATTTTCTCTTTCACCATTCTACTCTCCTCTATTAGTTTCCAAGTGTCTGTTGAGAGCCATTCCTTGTCTTATTTCTTCTTTCTTCCTAAAACTGTTGAACACGTTTCGTTGAAAATTACCTTCAGAGAGTTCCAATGGTTTTCCACGGATGACTCCTCAGTGATGCCACGTAGTGTTTCCTGCTTTGCTCTGACAGTTGCAGTGAAAATTTCCTGTGTGATTGTGTCCTTCAGTTTGTGAGTGTTGAACTTGCATTGTGGCCTATCCCCAGGTATCCTCGAGGCTTTCAGCTTCACCTTAAAAGTCCCTTGTACTAGATAGTGGTCTGAACCCACATCTGCTCCTCTCCTCGATCTTGTGTCCAGTAGGCTCCGTCTCTACTTCCTTGAGATTGAAATGAAGTCTATCTGGTTTTCTGTGTGTCCATCTGGTAAAAAATCCATGTTGCCTTGTGTATATCCCTGTGTTTGAACACACTGCCACCAATCACCAAATCATTGAAGGCGCAGAAGTCTGAGAAGAGTTCACCATTTTCGTTCATTTCACCGAGGGCCTCACGACCCATGGTGAGTTCTCTTCCTGTATTGTCTCCTCCCAGTTTCGCATTCATGTCGCCCATCAGGATTTTGATATCGCTCTTTGGGACGTTGTCCATTACTGTTTGTAGTTGACTG